TGCAAAAGCCTCAGATTGTCCGCAGCAAACAACAATATCAGTGAGAGGGTCAACATCTAGGCCATGACCCTCTTTGGCTCTAAGCGCCACAAGGTCACAAAGTCCTTGAACATGTCTGGAATAATATCAAACATTAATCAGCTTAGACTAACTAATAGCAAGTTATATTTTCCCTCTTTGCGAAGATAATCCGCGACTCATAATTCGTTATCTACAATGATAGAGTGAAGGGAGAATAGACCTGTACTGATTGTAGTCGGAATTGATGGCAGAAATGGCAGCAGCTTTGAGGATAGCCGGGGCTGGGAAATCAGGGAAACCCTCGGCGAGGTTGATGGCGTTGCATTTTTCAGCGAGATAGGATAGCTGTTGAATAGGAGATGATTTTATGTTCTTTGCCGCCGAAGATAACTTCTCCTCCATGCCTGCCTTATCTACTCTACCCCATTCAAGGCAAGACCTAGAAACAGTTCGACAGATGAAGATAAATTGAAGTGTGAATGCCAACAAAATTTTGATAAATGTTAAATAATTTCCACTATGTCGCTAAAATACAGTTTGATTATTGAATTGATTAAGTAGTTAATTAAAGTAATGAGGACTCAAAAGCTGTGCAATCATCGCGATTACAGGTTACCTCCGAAAGGCGCCAAATTTGCTTATGATTTTATAGTTCACATTTCACAATCCCTGTCCTCGTTCAGCTCCCATTGACGAAGTCCGGCATAGCCAAGCGATAATGAAGATCTTACTTTTCCGGCAACTGTCCACGGTGGCAGAGTTGAAACAAGAGACGGCGTATCGGCAATCGTCTTTGTGGTCATCGTGACTTTTGCCGAGCCGAGTCCGCCAAGGGGCCAACCTTGTCGACGATGATTAGCCTATATGTATCTAATGTCGTTACAAGTAGTTATACACTTCTTTTCTTGGAGGAGTGTTATAATACTAAATAAAGTAAAGACTAAAGAGGGAGGATTGTGACACTGTCTCACGGATATAAAAGATTTTTATATATGAAATGGGTCGGGTTATGATAAAAATGTAATATAAACAAGTGTCAAATAGATTTATCTATTACTGAAATTTTATTTTTTAATAGGAAAGGGGATACCCACCACTTCCAATGAGGCTCAAACCTATCACCTCCCACTTAGGAGAGCAAACCGAATACCATTGGATCACAATGTTCTTGGTAATTTTAATTTTTTTTAATAATTGAATTGGTAATTTGTTAGCAATCTGCAAAAAAAGTCAATTGAACAAATTTAGCATGTAAGTGTGGTTAATTAGCCTTTAATTTAGTTCGTGGTGGGAATTGAGCACTTGGTAGTAGATGAACTTACACTTCTCCCAAATGTAATACTTTTAAATTAAAATATACTTCATAATATTTAGGGTTGGATATCTACTCATGATAAAACATGTAATATTAAGCATAGATAAATTATTTAATTGTTACTTATAAGTTATGATAGAAAATATAATACTTAACGAAAAATATGATACTTTTGATGAAAAATATAATACTTTTAAATCAAAATGTAATACTCCGTATTAAGAATTGAAGAGTTACTTATAATGAAAATTGTAATACTTAAGTAACGTTTCAAAATAAGCTAGTAGCTTCTTAACTTTTTTTTTCATCTTTGTTCATATTATTTCAAAGAAGTGACATCAGGGACGGAGCCAGAAATTTGGTTGAGGGGAGGCGAAACAGTATAGACGGATTCAGAAATTTTTTTGAGTGACGAAACATTAAAACAAAAGAGATAATTTAAAAATATATAAATAAATTACTTAAGAAATATAGTTGTAAATATTGTTGGATATGGACGAAAAATAAAACACATCGAAACTTTATAAAAAATATTCATAACAAACTATAAAACATAATTAATGAATTGTAAAATTATGTTAATACCAGATTTGAACCCTTAACCAAACTACTACCAAATATGTGCTCTACCACCTAATCTAATTCACTCTTGTTAACATTTTATAGTTTTTTTTTTATACTAATACTAAAACATGTACTATATATGCATATACTAGTCATGGGCACGCGCTTTGCGCGAAACGTCATGCCCAAAATTAATTAATGTGTTCTAATTTTTAAATAACAATATATATAAATATTAATAATTATATTGTTATATGAGAAATTAAATGTATACATAGATACATTATATAAATAGCAAAATAATACAATTATAATTCAAAATATTACCATGACAAATTAAACATTAATAGTACATCATTAATAACAAAACATTTTATATAATATATAGATATTGTTTAGTATTACGGCAAATTTTAACATTACTAACACATAATTCATTAATTCAATGATCGAACATATTTTTGGTGGTCATTATTTTTCATATAGTGACGGATGTTTTAAAAATCACATATTCTAAATGCACAAAGAGTTTTTTTTAAGAGATATATTTATGGGAATAACATAAAAAATTAATTTTAACATAAAGAAAAAAAGAAGGATATACAATATATAAACATGTTATTTCACCATCATTAAATATTTTCAAATCATAATGTTGGTCATTATAATTTGCTAAACTATTGGTAATTCAATTTCAATATATATATATATATATATATATATATATATATATATATATATATATATATATATATTATTTGTAATAATCATAGCATCAAAGTAATACAGCTTTCACATTAACATGTGAGATAGATATTGTAGTCATTCAAAATATTACATTTTAATAAATTTTTCAAAATATTTGTGTATTTTTAATTCAAGTCTGAAAGGACTTTGAACCATAATTACAAAGCATCAAATTAAGGACAAACAATTTTTTTTTTTTTTAAATGAAGCTGCATAATGCTACATATATAATGAAGCTAACAGCGGTTAAGGGAAAGGATACCACTTTTTATTTAACAAAGGTTAGACCACTAACTCCCATGAATAAACTCGGCCATAAAGTAACATAAGCAATAATGTGTCAACAATTATTCTTTTGCAATCTTTGTTATCTACAAACTTTTTCCTTTAATTTTTTAATTCAACTCATATATCAATCTCAATTCAGAACCGACCCCCTTTACCCTTGTATCCTACCTCTTTAACATTATCAAAAGAAAAACATAAGATCTTTAACCTGATTAGAACTCGTTTTTCATCATTTTACCCAATCATAGTTTTGAAAGTGATTGTTGAGGTACTGATAAATGTACCTCGTAACAACTTTCAAGAGCTTAAGGTTCCTTCCCATCGTGCAATTAAGGTGTTGAATGATCTAATCCAGATATATTTATTTTCCTCTTTGTTCACTGCATATGCAAAAGGTATCTCTTAGCTTAGGTTGCAAAACAAATGGGAAATCAGAATTTAGTATATATTAGTAGGTTGTACCATACCAGGCCACTTGAGAAGGAATAGATAAATCTTAAATTAAATTGTCATTCATGTTTAATAGCAATTTTTTAGTCAGTTAACTCTAAAACAAAAATTTCCAAAATTAACATTGTTGATAAAAAAAAATTCCATGGCTCTCAGAGAAAAGACTCGCCCAGAAGTAGTCCGCATTCGACAAGGTCCATCTGAAATTGATTCCGTGGAGTCTCTCATTCTTACTCTTCTTCCTTTCACTCGGTAACATCATTGTACACAAAACCACAAAACGAAACAAAAAGGTGGTCACTAAGATTTCTCTAAACAATCATAATATAAATATCGTGTCAAAACCTTGAAGATCGACGTTGGTCAGCAAGGTTCGCCGAAGACTCCCCGCAAAACCAAGAACCCGGCAGCAGTGTTGGCCAACGCCCGCCGCAAGTTAAGAGAGCTTGGCGGGTTAAAACATGTCCATCGAGGCCTCCGCCACCTTCACGATGATGGAGCCGGATAAGTTGCGACGGATGTTCGCCGGAAATGGAAGAAGAAGAACAAACAGTAAAGGTGTATCTTCTTTACTCTTGCCTGACCAGTTCTTGCTCCTCACCGACGATGTAGCGACGGATGACGCTCCGTATGGCAAGTTGTCCTTCTCTATCCCTTCCCTTTATCTTCTCTGTGAGAAATTAGAAAAAGCCAAAAAGAACTATCTACAAGAAGTGCTCTGCTAGAGTGCCAGACTGCCACTAACTTTGTATATGGCAAACATGTAATTTATTTTAAAATTCAGGGCAATTGAAAGAAAAAATAAATCCAATGCTATATCAAAAAATTTCAGCCATCCAATTTTAGATCAATGACTTGTAGAGGTGCCATTTTTGAGGGGCAATTAGCAACTCACAATTATAAGTATAGGGGAGATACATACAAAGACTATATATGGGGTGGGGGTGGGGGTGGGGTGAGAGTGGGCAGCTGACCCCCTGCCCCCCTTTGGCTCCGTCCCTGAATGACATGTTTACTTTTTTCAATTAAAACCTTTTTCTCTTCTCTTTTATCCACAACTTTCACCGTAATTATTATTATTATTATTATTATTATTATTATTATTATTATTATTATTATTATATAAAGGAGATCCGCAACAATATTACTACTTCATTATGAGATGCTAGATCATAATTATGCTAATATTTTTATTTCAAAATGTTAATTTTTTTAAAGACAAAATGTTAAATTTTAATATGTAAACAAATTAATTTAAATTTTATGAAGATATCTTTTTTTTTGGTCTATATTACATTTATCAGCTTATCAAAAAGTTAATTTTACCAAATACTTTTCAGCACAACAGCTAGCTTAACAGCTCTACAATTTTCAGCTCCTAACTTATAACTTTTCAGTTACCTTTTTAACTAAGTTTACCAAACATAACTTTATTTGAAAAAATGTAATACTAATAAAAAAACTCAACCATCTTACAAATGAGGATATGTGAGACGATCACCGTCTCATAGGATAATTTGTCTTAGTGAGTATTAAAATGTAAGTTAAAAAAAATACCTCTAAATAAGATTAAAACTACCGGGAAAAATATAAACTCAGATAGTCCCCATAAAAATCTAGCCCTAATCACACATTTGTTGCTCCATAATTTTCCATTTCACAACCGTCTTCAATTCACTTCCCTCCGACCAGCTGTCCAGTCTCCGGTGCGGCATTTCCAAGTTCACCCGGCCTTAGTATATCCAGTGGCTCGGCATTGTAATGCTGCTGGCCACGGCGAACAATGATGTTTCTCAACGTATAAGCATCTTTTATCTATTCATTTCTATTATTTTAGCTTTTCTCCACGCAATTAATCACGGAAATTTACTTGATGGAACAAATTAAAATGTTCTTTAATACTTACTGCAGGAAAACGAAGACTCTGATCAAAGTATTTCTGGTAAGATTAAGCTTGAGTAAAAAATGGTGTAATTTTTAGATAAAGTGATGTCTATTTCTTAACACCGATTTTGTTTGTTCTTTATTGGTAATCAGAAGATGAAGATGTAGACTATAATTGGTCAAGGAATGTTGTTTCCTTAGGCAGTGCTTCTGAGGACAAGGTTGGTTACTAAACATCATTGTTAATTTTGTTCTGTCATAAATTTTCCACTACCCCATGGATGCCAAATACTACTTTAGAAATTAGAAGTAGCTAACTTCACATTGTTTATAGTATGGAGTATATAATTGCAGTAAGACTAGCATGTTTTAGTTGATCTTTATTTTATTTTTTTTATATATTTTTAACCCTTCTAAGTTCTATGCATGGGGCAATTTGAGTATTGATGAACACAACACTTTCTCATTTCTGTGGGAGGAAACAGGAAACAAGAAACAAATTTATTAAGTAGATTAGAATCTTGATAAATAATCATGCTTATATGTGCTTCTTTGTGATCATATTTCTGCAGGGAAATATACAGATTCTTTCGCATCTTGAGACGCTTAAAGGTCATTTTCAGAGCTGGCTCATCTACTTTATTCTTTAGCCTTATTCTCATTAGAGTTGTTCTTATCTTGGAGCACATCCTCATATATCTGGAAATTTAGCCGTATCTGTCATGTGCAGATGTTCACAACCTTGATTGCGCAACGAAGGTTACCATTGAATGTCAACAGGTACAAGTTGTTGACTGGAAAACGATAATCTCTAACAGGCACAAATTGGTGATCTGAAAAGGATCCATGGATTATAAAATATGTACTTGTACCTTGCCTTATCAATAGTCCAAATATGCTGCCATTCCTGAATGAGAAGTTAAAGAGAAAAATGTACTCTTTTACTGAAATTGTTCCTGTTCATGGGAAAGATCATAACTCTAGCACACCAATCTTATGATTGCTACCATGGTTTTAATCAGTGGAAGGAAAAATGCAAAGCTACTGGATCAGTTTAGTGTAGATGGATAATTCCAGTCACTATGTTATAGGTTGAATATATTTGTTATTACAGAGGCAAAAAAATATATGTATTGAAGATGATGTTGAGCATCCTGTTTTCAACAATGAGGAGCATTTCGGTATGGCTTCTGGTTGCAATTCAGATGAGAAAATTGGCATCTTTCCTGTGTTGGAACAAATTTGCTGTTCTGAAGAGGAAATTATTTCTGAAGATGAGGTATGAAAGAGAACACTTCACTACCTGTTTTCAGTATTTAGTACTATGATAAATGACTATAGTCCCTTTTGTGTTCAAACTTTTCTAGAAGATTATTGCTGGAAGTGTAAAATGCAAGAGGGAGGGCTCACCATCAAGAGCTAGTGGACATACTGAGGCAGCACTCTATTTAAATGAAAATTCTGGCTCTTCATCTGCCTGTGGTATCTCACCAAAACTAATGAATCCATCTAATGGTACTAGTTCCTTATGCTTATTTAACATTTGATGACTGTATTTTTCATTTGTGCATATTGAAAATAGGTAAACTTTATATGCCTTCAATTTCTCATTTTCTCCCAAATGCAAAGTTGCCACTTTCAAGGATTGGTAATCTGCTTCTTAATGTACTTAATTTGTTCTTGCAGCAGATATTTCATTCAATTTCTAAGTTTATCCTCATAAATGAGAGCTCATGGATGAAATTCAATGGAGAATTATAAAATTTTGTATATTAGACAGGGATTGTTGGGAAACTAGAACTACTAACCTTAGGTGATTAAGCTGAGGTTCATTGGCAAAATAGGAGAATTGTGTTATCACCTGTACTCTACTCTAGGGGTGCTTTTCACTCTTTGATCTTTTCTGGTTAACTTTTTTTGATATTTTCTAGCAACTCTGTTAGCTAATTTTTACAATAGGTTGTGAACTAATGCAGGAAACCAGGGGAAAACCAAGCACAAATTTTTATTTCGTTTCAACAGAAAGAAGGAAGGCATTCCTTTTGTTGCCCATGATACCAATAAAAGTAACACGTCATTATCTCTGCTTCCACAAAGTGTAGAATTAGACACAGCTCCATCTATGTTTGGGAAAAAGTTGATGGAGGACTTGTTGGATAATATGCAACAAAATGAAATAGAACGGATAGAGAATGATGCAGTGCCATCTGAAATAGCAGTCGAACACAAATCCAGTGAGCGTTCAATGGCTGAGCTTCTGGATTGTTTTCAGGAGAAGAGGGGTTTGCAGTTTGAGAATTCTATAAATGTTAGCTTGCATCCTTCTTAACTCTCATTTCCTTGTATATAGTATTTGAATTTTTCAATATCATTATTGTTATTGGATTTTCTCCAGCATAGTAATATAAAAGGAAGAAGGGTAAAGCATTTTCCAAAGAGAAATATATCAGCACTGGGTGATAGGAATGTAATTGATGATGACATACCTGAAGCACTGGATAGTGAACCGTCAATGGATGCTGAGGTGAAGTGTTTCCTTTGGTAGTTTCTTCCTTGAAATTCTGTTCAGTAAGTGATACTTAACTAAGTTCCTTCCAACTGTTGCTTCAGGAAATTCCTCAAGTTTTGAAATCTGTTGCCCCTGAGAGAACCATTGCTGACCAATTTCATGAAGCTCTAGGAAGTGCATCTAAGAATGATAGAAGACCATATATTTCAGTATCTGGGCAACATTGGTGAGTGCTTCAACTAAAGCCTGCAATTTATGTATATAGTTTGAGTGTTACCAACCTCCTTATAAGTTATTTGACATTTGAAATGCTTTTTCTTTTCTCAATGCAGTGGTGGGTTATTTGCAAACTTGCAACGGGTGATGCTGAGTGAGAAGGAAAGAGATATTAATTTCTCGAACCACTTGCAAATGGATACTGATTCGAATGGTAAATGGCACGTGTTAATTTAATCAACGCATATCCATATCCTACTTTGATGTATTATGTTTTTCTTAAAATATATATTTATTTGCCCATTCTCAACTTCAGGTGAGAAAGTCTGTATTGATGTGAGGATTTTGTCAAGCTCTTTAGAGGCAAAGCTGACTATTTGTCATTGCACTTTCAAAGAAGACGACGAGGTATAAAGTGTACTTACCGAGGGGAAATCCTTCTGCAGTGCAATATGTATGATTGACAGTTAACATTTTTTACTTTTTCATTTATGATTTCTGAAGAATTGTTCAATGTACTTCTGCAGAGCGCTGACTTGCTAAATCATCCCAATTTGAAAAGGACTAAAGGAGGAAGTGTTTTAACTGTTATTTTTAGTTCAAGAGTATGTAACGATGTTGAGCTTGATAAAGGGAACCTCATCCGCATTTACCCTCCTTGGTAAGGGCTTTTTGATCCCTTATTTTTATGAGTGTAGGCGTGTAGCTGATTTTAATGCAGTGCAGCCTTTGTCTTCACATTGGTCATTTCAAAATGTTCTTATTCTTAATTGCATCACATTTTAACAAATTGTGTTGTGTATGCTGCTTCAAAAATTTTCTTGTGTAGGAAGGAGGTACATGCTAAAGAAAACGATGAGGTCATCATTTTATCTAGATATTTTTCAAGAATCAGCTCTGATCATATTATGTTTTAGTATGATAAAGAGTTAACTTTAAGGTGATATCGAGGTTCCAAACTTTAATTTTTAACTGTTGAATATATATTGTAACAGAGTCAATAGTACTCAAAAAAAAAAAAAAAAAAAAAACTGTTGAATTTACATTTTCAATAATGTACATTGTGGTTGCGCCCATTGGATGTGCCTGGTGCATTGGTTCGTAATATGCGTAAAATATAAATCTATGAATTGTGAGTTTGGGATGCCAGTTTGGAAAAATCAGTCTGAAGCCTTCCGCGCCTTCATGAAACTCTAACGCCTCGCTCCTGGGCAGCTCAGTTGATCATAAAATAAAATTTGACTCGGGATTGAGTCTCACCAGCATTGAGTCTCACCAGCAGCAGTGTGGGAGCAATCTTTCAAAGTGAGTGGACTCCTTGTGTGCAGTAAATAAATGTCTATCTTTTATGTTCAGTTGAGTTACTATGATTTACATCCTCTCCCAAATGCTTTGTCCAGTCGGGATGTGAAGGCCTCTTGATGTTGATGATTTAACCTTTTGGGAACAATGAAAGTCCAATGGCGCTTAACTTTGAGTTTCGTGTGAACCTGTGCACTGATTGTACACGTTCATTTTGGATGATCAAATGGTTGTGATCGCATATACCGTGAGTGCACGTGTTACCCTGTGCATTGTGCACATGATATACTTTGGCCAGTCAAGGTCATAGGGGCATTTTTGTATTTCAGCCGTGTTAGTAGGTGTCATTTTTTTTCCCGCTTCACTCTCTCTCGCACCGTAATCTCAGAGTTGTCTCTCTCTCGAGGGCTGCGCGTTTAGTCATAGCTAGGTCCAATTGCCGATCTTTGAGGAGCGCATCCGGTCATCCAGTGCACAAGTTCACACGAAACTCAAAGTTCACACCTGAACTTTTTCCTATATATATATATATATATATATATAGATTTTGGCTCCTATGAGGTTAGGTCTTCTCGTGCGGACAGTGCGACATACACCATTAGATATGCATAAATGCACCATACAGTGTTCGAAAATACACCAGAATGAAATGCCAAAAAATGTACCACAAAAAAAAAATACACCACACATAATGGTGTATTTACGAACACTGTGTGGTGCATTTATGCATACCTAATGGTGTATGCCGCACTGACCGCACGAAAAAACCTGACCTCACAGGAACCTGACCATATATATATATATATATATATATATATATATATATATATATATATATATATAAGGATACATCAGAATTTATAACAGTGACTTGATATTTCCTTCCAATTTGTTTCAAAAAAATAAAAAATTTCCTTCAAAATTTAAGCTACTCAACTTTCTAGAAACTAAACATTCCCAAGGGGTGGTACGAGCACGACCCCGCTCACTACCGAACAGAAGAGCTTTATCTTGGTCGGGCATGAGCCTTGGCTAAGAAGAAGCTTAATATTCCCCAGAAGTAGTACAGGGCTCGTCCCCCCTCACCATTGAACCGAAGTTCTTAGCCCAGCTCGAGCATTAAACAAAAAATGGCCAAACTTGAGTATTACCTAACATGACGCAACCAAAAAAAATAAAAATAAAAACCGAGGTCGATTTCATCCCAAGGATGAAACAACCATACGGTGGAGGGTTTGGGTGACTCCACGCCACCCTTGAGAAGATCCCTCATGGTCCGGGCTTCGAGTGACGATCAGGGGCGGAGCCAGGATTTGTTGGTGCGGGGGGGGGGGGGGGGGGGGGACTGATCACAATTTGAGAGATAATAATAAAATACATTAATATGCACTTATAACATATACAGTATATCTTGCACTAGTATTCAAATCATTATGCACTTATAACATACACAGTAACTACATGCTACAATCATTTTCAAAACTCATCAAATCACCTAATTTCAAACTCATCAAATGCCCATTTAGCCATTTCATTATGATTTATGCACTAGTATTTAAATTCTAGCAAATCCTATTAAACTTTTAAAAGTATAAACATACACTGACCAAAGGAGAAGTAGTGGAGAACGCCAACACTCGTAGCCGGTAGCCCGAGTTCACCGCGGTTGTCATCGTGAGTCGTCAACTGAGGAAACGAAAGAGACGATTTGACTATTTAGGCATTTACCCCGAGTTTACCGCGATTGTTGTAACTTGTGAGGATGATGAATCAATTTTCAAAAAAGAATAATTCATAAAACAAAAAAATTAAGGATTTAAAAAATAAAAAAGAAATAGAAAATTACCCATATACTTGCAAGTAAAATATTGAAGAGAATATGTTGTTTCGAATATCTGCCGCGTCTGCCTGCTGTGTTTGCAATTTTGGTTTGCAAATTTGGAAAGTGGTTGGTGATTGACTGATGGGAGTGATGGGGGCCACACGCCCACACAAATACACAATGACACTAGCTAATTAGCTATTATATATAATACTAACTAATAAAAATAAATAAAATTTTGGGGGGGCCCAAGCCGCCAAAGGCCATAATGTGTAGCCTGTGGCCTTGTGCTGCTCTATTGCCTCTATACTAAGATAAAAAGAAAATTCTCGCGGGGTGGGGGGGGGGGGGGGGGGGGGGGGGAAGGCCCCCTCTTACTACCAGGTGGCTCTGCCCCTGGTGACGATATAGATAGCCCGAGACCGGCAGGAGCGAGGACTAGCAAGTGGCACCGAACCCCGACCAACGACCCAAAATCAAGTGGACGCTCGATTAGTTGAAGCGTACGGTTCAAGCAAGTGGGCCCGAACATGTATATGCCTAGAGCGAAAGGACCTGGGCGACGTACTTAGTCCAACTAAAGAAATCCGAACATCATACATGGTTCAATCAAAGGAGCTTGAGCAGTATACTTAGCTCGTTTAGGGGAGCCTGGGTGGTACTCTTACTCCAACTAAAGAAGTCCGGACGACATACATTGTGAAAATCAAAAGGACCTAGGCGACGTGTACATGATTCAAGTGAAGGGACCTGAGCGGTATGCCTTAGGGGGTCTTGGTGGTGAGCCTAGTCCAATCAATGGACCCATGCAACACGTATATAGAACAAGCGAAGGGCCTGGAAGCAAGCCTAGACCATTCAAACGGCCCATGTAGCTTGGAGCCTGGTCGAAGTACGTGGTTAAAGCGAGAGAGCCTGGGCGCCACCTCTAGTGGCACACATGGTTTAGATAAAAGGTCTTAAATACATGGGCAATCCAAGCAATGAAATTCAATTAAGAATGCAAGAGCCCGAGGGGCATACACAATTTGAGGGTAAAAAAGGGGTTTGGAGGCATGCATAAATCGAACAAAGTGGTTTGAGGGGCATACCACGAAGAAAATTATTCTCCCTGTCTCATTTTATCTATCATACTCACTATTCATTCATTGGTTAAATCAATTCTTTCTTCTTTGCTTATTTCTGTTAGCATTTTCTTATAATTTTTAGATTTATTTTTTAATATATAATTAATAGTACTTTTGTAGTTTCTAAATATATAAATTTTAGATACTAATTCTAAACTTAATATTATGAAAAATTAAATTGTAAATACCTTTAGTCAAACCTCGTACCGAACTCGACACATAAAATGGGACAAAGGGAGTACAAAAATAATCTCAGTAGTGGCTCGGGGGAGTATAATGGAGAGAATTGCAAAAATACAAAATTCATCATGAGCCATCTCCGGACTCGAGTGACCCGCATGCTCATCGTCGCCATCAACTCCATCCTGGTTGGTCGGAGACGTCCCACCATCCACCACCAATCTCCGTCTCAGGTTAAGGAAGATTCATCCTTACTAATAAGAATTTGCTCCAAAGGGGGTGGGGGGTTGGCTGCACCTCGGGCGGCGCCCTTAGATAGCTCCGGGAGACCATCATCCCCACCCTTTCGAATCAACTTGCTTATCACTGTTCCTCGATTTTTGGGTCATCTTCCTCGAAGGAGGACATGTCTCTCTCTCCCAATCCAAAGGTGAAAGTTGGGTCCCATTGGCAAAGGACATCATAGATATCTTACATTGCATATCGAAGTATCCCACATCGTATGTAATTGCGTTCTCGGTGGCAAGTTTTTCAACTCCAGCCCTTGGACGCTTGCCACGACCTCGGTCACTTCCTCCTTGAGCCTGGTGACAACCTGGGCGGCTTGCTTCTCCAATGCTCCCACTTGGGCTCGGAACGAGGTAATTAATGGTCTCACTCATGGATGGCGGCACGCTCGTAGTAGTCTAGAAGCAAGGTTCACTTCAACACCACCCGTCCAAACAAATGAGAACATAGGGAGTGAGGAATACCTCTACTTAGCTAGGCAAAAATCTTTGGACAACTCATGAGTAGCGACCATTGGGCGATCTCCAAATCATGGGGAGGGAGGAGACTCCGACAAATTTCTCGGGGTAAGTGGGATGCCAAACCCAAGTTGGGCAACCCATGCTAAGCCTAGGAGGGGCGGTGGGGGGTTGACACCCGAACCCAAGCCACATTTCTCCTTCCCCTTTTGGGACATGGTCCTTGGCTTGACCAGTAGGTGTCGGGGGGCTAGCGAAGGCTTAGAGGAGGTGGCCTTCGTCCTTTTTGAAGGTGACGGTTGCTCTTCGAACCGGCTCCTCAAGCACCGAAACATCTCTGAGCGGAATGCCCTTTTTGTGGAACCTACAAACAAAGAGACAAAAAAAATAGAGTTCTTAATAGAAGATATATACTTTTCAGTAAGTGAACCACTAAAATGTGACTACGACGATCTAACATAACACATAGGAAGTGGCGAACATACAAACTATTTGGTGCTTGAATTTATTGTGAGTAAATTAAATTAGTATACCCATTAATAAGCTGGCATTTGGAGGATCAAGATTATATTATCTGCTGGTAAGAAAAAAATAAAAAATTATCTTGATAGGAAAATTCCCATTGCAAAGGGATAATGGAAAGCAAATTTGGTATTATATTGTAATGATCTCCGGAAAGAACTGATGATTAGAAACGAATAAAAAAAAAATCTTAGGCGACCAAATTCAGTTAACGTTTACATGAAAATGAGGAAGAGGTTGGAAATCTACTTTTAAATAATAATATTCACGGGATAAGTAACACAAGAGCGCATCTGGTGTAGTGGTATCATAGTACCCTCCCACGGTACTGACCAGGGTTCGATTCCCTGGATGCGCATTTCCTTCTTGCTGTGTTTTTTAATTTGACGAGAAAAATTTTCCCACAACAGAAAAAGTTGAGGTCTGGTTTGAACTTTGAAGTAAAGGCCCGCACGTACTCTTTAATATGCTTCTCTTTTACTCAATTTTTGTGTTCTATAAATTGCCTTATAAAAAGAGGTCTCGGATAAAAGTTTTACCTTCTTTGATCCTGAAAAAACAGAGTTCTTAATAGAAGTACTTTTCAGTAGTGAACCACTAAAATGTGACTACGACGATCTAATATAACACATAGAAAACGGTGAACATACAAACAATTTGATGCTTGAAGTTACTATGAGTAAATTAAATTAGTATATATACCCATTAAGAAGCTGGCATTCGCGGGGGGAGGGGGGATCAGGATTATCTGTAGGTAAAAAAAAAATATAAAAAAAAAAATCTTGATAGGAAATACATTCCCATTGCAAAGGGATAATGGAAAGCAAATTTGGTATTATCTCGTAATGATCTCCGGAAAGAACTGATGATTACAAACGAATAAAAAAAAAATCTGTGGTGACTATAGCTAATAGAATAAAGATTCACGATCTCAGGACACGAGCGCATCTGGTGTAGTGGTATCATAGTACCCTCCCACGGTACTGACCGGGGTTCGATTCCCCGGATGCGCAAATTGCATTGTTTTTCTTGCTTTTTTTATTCCCACTAACAGAAAAAGTTGAAGTCTGGTTTGAAGTAAAGGGGGGGCATCAGAAAACAAACTGAATATGCATAAATGACTCATGACCAAATTAAACACGTTTTTTCATATGCTCTCTCACGTACTCTTTAGTTTGCTTCTCTGTTACTCAATTTTTGTATTCTATAAAATGCCCCATCAATCCATCATCCCATCATCCCATATATGCAACTTTTGTTCTCGATCTTCCTGGCTCCGATCCTGCCGCAAGCAAGGAGAAAATTTGTTGGTAGGCAGCGCTACATGCTAATAATAGTTGTTTATGGCTAAGACCACGAGACACCATCTTTCTTGATAATATCTTTCTCAAGAGTATTAACAACTAATCATAGGTTGAGTAATTAGAATTTCTTCAAAATCAAAATCTTCTTTAAGGATTGCATTAACAATTTATGCGTTTTACTGAATAATTTGACTCAAACATAGATGATTAATGTCATCCTGTCATCCTACCTTTAGGATTACATTCGTACTCCTTTCAACCGTGTGCGGGATTTACATTAACTAAGGATATCTCTATCGTAAAGTTCATGCACAAATCAAGAATCCAATTAGCCGGGAATTGTTGATTCAAGAACAATAATAAAAATCAATTGAATCAAAGGCCAAACAATTATAAATTAGCAATTCAAGAAACAATTATACGTTCTTGAATCAAAGGCCAAACAATTATAAATTAGCAATTCAAGAAACAATTAAGAACATGGTCTCAATCTAGGGTTCACTATAAATCCATGTGCTACGGTGTTTAGTCTCTAAACATTGAGGCAAATACGAAAGAAACTAAAGAAACAAGAAAAGCAATGAAGAACCTATGAAAACCCCTTCAATCGGGGAATAAATCTTGGTTCCAAGCTTCCTCAAGGTGTAAGGATGTCTTTCCAAAGAGTGGTTGAAGCCCCCAAGAATGCCTTGGAACATTTCCTTGAAGTCAAGGGTTGAAAAGTGTTTCAAAAGATTTCAAAGCAGGGTTAAATACATATTTCCACAACTTAGCGCAACCTAGGACATGGCCATGTCCCCGGGCATGTCCCTTACTGCCTAAGAACACCACCAGGTGACACGACTGTGTCCCGAGTCGTGTTATCTGGCGCGTCAAACTTTATCCTAAATTTAGCCTTGTTTCGTTTCGAATCTTTGAAAACTCAAAACATAAAAGTTGTAGGCTGGGAATTCTCTTAGCTTTCTATGGATACTTAGATCACCTTGGTTCGACTTCATATGAGGAAGATGTGACTAAAACACTATTGATGTATTGTAGGATTGTCTCCTTTAAGGCACGTTAGGTCCTTTTTTATTTTCTAACATTAATGTGCCCCAAATGTCTAAAAATGCTCAACATGAAAGTTGTAGAGGATTTCTTTGTCTTTCCATTGATACCTTAATTATATTACCTCCATTGAACTTCATATGATAGAGTTATAGGCAAAATACTTGCGCATGTTGCGAATTATCCTGTTTTACCATTCTTGTTTAAAAATACCTAAAAACCAAATGATAAAGAACTAAGTATCAAATTCACTCAATATAAACAAGAAATATAACAAATTGATATGAAATGGAAATAGGTGCATTTGAGCACAATATAGAGAAACTAGGAAAACGTAATTGAAAGATTAGGGGTGACATTTTACAGGTTCATAAAATCAGCATGTTAATTCCATAATAAAAACTTACTAATTTTCAACCATCTTAAAATTATGCAATAATCTGGATTGTAAAGAAAATTATTGAATAAGTTTGGCCTTTAATTTCTTCCCGTCATACTAAAGAGGCATTTGGTTGCAACATTTTGCATTTGCAGAAATTGTACTGTGATACTTGAAATATAAAAGATATGTGTTTTTATACGTTAATTGAGTTAAGCACCAATTTAGTTAATTAATTAAACTTGTTTAAGCAAGTATAAATAATAACTGCAGAAAGCATAAATAAAATAAAAACACAAGGAAATTGTTACGCAGTTCGGAGCTCCTTCTCCTACGTCTACGGGGCAACCCACGTCTGCCCAATCCACTATAGATGTTCACCAAAGGAGTATTACAAGAGGTAATTGAATACGGCCTCCAGCCTTTACCACTACCACTCTTTCTAACACCTATTCAGGACTGACACACGAATACCCAAACAATCTTCACAAGATGCTTCAGCAGTACCACGTACTGATCATGCAGTACAATATAAATATTCTTACGAATTAAATCAGAAATTACATTCAAAATATAAATTGCTTTGTAGAATCAAGAGAGCTCTAGCAGTGTATAATTCTCAAAGTTGGCAATTGCTTCCTTCGAATCGTGTGAATTTATTGCACTTCTTGAACCAATAGTTAAGATCCTTAGCCATAGCCTTTTCTTTAGCTACCACTTGTTCGAATGAATCACCACCACTCATTCTTGTCCTTTTGAAAGCTTCTTCAGAGATTGATGATACAACACATACAAAGCATTCTGACCACTTATTTCATACTCACTTGGTCCGTAAATAATCAAAACAAATTACACTAATTTATTTTTAAAACTAGTAAACCCCAATTAAAATAGCCAATAGTGTAATTTTTATTTTACACTTACATTTGCAATAAGACTATACACGTAATTAAGTGAGTCCTACTGAAAATGAAATGCATTCCCTTTGCAAAGGGATAATGGAAAGCAAATTTGGTATAATCTTGTACTCTTGTAGTGATCTCCAGAAAGAACTGGTCCTTAAAAAGGAATAAAAAGAAATCTGCAGTGATCAAATGTAGTAACGTTTTTAGAAAATGGTACGGTCTGCATGATACAGGAGCGCATCTGGTGTAGTGGTATCATAGTACCCTCCCACGGTACTGACCAGGGTTCGATTCCCTGGATGCGCAAAGCCCCTTCCTTTTTTTCACGAGAAAATTTTCCCCACATCAGAAAACGTAACGTTGAGGTCTGGTTTCATGACCAAACACGTTTTTTCATATGTCCAAGCATTTTCCATATGCTCTCTCATCACGTACTCTTTAATTTACTTATCTTTTACTCAATTTTTTTGTTCTATAAAATGCCCCATCATATCATCATCCCATGCAACTTTTGTTCTCGATCTTCCTGGCTTCGCCCTTGCCGCAAGCAATGAAGTCAAATCATCAACTCTCAGGTGATGATAAGTCGGTGATTCAAGAAACAAAAGGATCAATGAAAGAGATGAAGCTACGGCAATCATTCCAGAGAGCTATTTTTGGGAAAACTACTTCACACAAAAATGAGTTCTTTAACTTTTCCAAAAGTACTAATAAAAATTGCAAATCCAGGCCTCCTTCTGCTCATCATCTTGATGAACATCCTATTAGAATTATGATGTTCTTGGGTTCCTCCATCCACACTTGACCACCCCCCCCCCCCCCCCCCCCTTTATTTTTTCTCTTTTTAGTAAGATAGCATTATATAGCAAATACTCCGTATGTACTTGCATTAGTAGAAACAAGGTAAATTGTTTTAACCCGCACGAACTTAACTCAATAGTTTAATGGGTAGTATTTGGGAGAAGAGAGCAAAGTTTGAATTTTGACGGCGACAACCATTGAGTCACTGTGCTCTGTCGGGTAGAAGAAAGTATTATTGGATGTGCTCAGTTACCAAGAAAGTTAAATGCAAATTATATATGTGAACTTTTCTTGAATATAATGCCCTTTAAATGGTTTACTATTTCAAATGGAGTTCTAGTATATATACTCTCGAATTCTACTCTCTCACTTTTACTCAATGATGTATAGCAAATAATGATAGGATATTTTCACCAATGTGAGTCCCAAAAAAGGTATCTACATCATGAATTTATGAGAAGAAGTAGAAGTTAAGAGTAACAAATGGAGTCCGCCATATAGTATTTTCTTTCAAATGATGAGTACTCTGAATAATCAGTGACTGGAATGAAGGCACAATAGAAAAAGAGTTAATGCCTTCATTCCAGTCACTCACTATGGAGCAGTTGTGCATGACAAGGGTGGCAAGTTCGTGGCAGAAAGTTGTGGACATGATCCATTTTTAACTGAGGCAATGGCGGTCGAGGAGGCTTTAACTTGGCTCAAGGATCTTGATAGTAGTAACATTATTATTGAATCGGATTGTTTAAATTTTTGTCTTGCTTTTAATTCAAGTAAGTTAGACTTTTCTTATGTTGGTTTGGTGGTAAGCAATGTTATGATGTTCGGGCGATTAATTTTTCATCTGTCACAGGTTTGTGGTTGTCTGTCCCACTTCCATGTATTTCGAATTTCTTCAGTATTTAATGATTATTGTGCTGGTTATTTTTTTTTAAAAAAAAAGTAATAGAATAACTATTGATAAATAATTAATCTATCGCCAATTATAGAATTAGATGGAAAGGTTTTAGATTAAAACTCTCAAAATGCTTTATATATATTTATAGGATAATGTAAATTGTTAAACTCAAAGTCAAGATAGTCGAGTTGGTTTAAGGCGTCAGTTTCAGATACTGGTCCGAAAGGGCATAGGTTTGAATCTCATTCTTGACATTTTTTTCATTAATTTGCAGAACCAAAATAGAACTATGAGGGAAAGATGATTGCAGATTTGCAGCTATGAAAGGGGCAGTATTCTGGCTTGTGTTCCTATGAAAGGCGTATTGTGGCTTGTGTTCCTGTTGGTAGTTTTACAAAGCTTTTACCGATAAAAGTTTTCAGTAATCATAAAGAAAAAGTGACATTACAACTGGTGTGAAAATATTATTTTTCAATAAGGGAGACTCGATGTTATATGATCTTATCTCTTTAGAATCTTATCGTTACAATATCTTTTCTTCCTTAGAGATTAGGAATAGATTGATCATATGAGATACGATTTTAATTTCATCTATGCTATTAAACTTCAAAAAGGTGTTCATAAATTACAGGGTCATGCATGCCTAATTGTTACCTAGGAGAGTTGGGTCTTTACCTTCTATGATCATATTCTGTAATTTAAGAGTTTATGGATCATTTCTCCAATCAAGGACCCTTGTCTAGCCATAGTAGAAGTCATTACTAAAACAATTTGCACAAGTGTTTTCCAAATTTCAATGTCACTCTTTGATGGATCGTTATACCCTGCACCACGGCGCGCACAACACTATGCGCCCCACGCCTCTCAAAACGACGTCGTTTTGGTAAGTTATGTAGGGAATTGACGTGATTATGTGTATTTTTTATACAATTATGTGTATTTGTTTATACAATTATGTGCATTTTTTATACAATCATGTACATCTTTTTTTATACAATTATGTACATCCGAAATAGGAAATTTATGTGTATTATGTTAAGAGTTGATGTTTATTATGTTAAAAGTTTATGTATATTATGTATTATGTTAGATTATATGTATTATCTTTGACAAAAAAGTATGTGTATTTTGTTATATAATTATGTACATTCATGTATACAATTATGTGTATTATAGTATAAAATTATGTACATTTTTGAACATGAGATTTTTTTTAAAGAAAATTAACCGCCAACACAGGGTAGCGAAATTAAAAAAAAAAAAATTCTGAAACGACATCGTTTTGCATCAGGACGCACAATGCAATGCGCGCCCTGGTGCAGGATATAAATTGCCCTCTTTGATAGAAGTGGCTAATTCCCGGGCCTGGGCCAGTCTCGTGCCAGGTTCGGGTCGGGTTTGGGCCTATGTTAGCACCGATTAAGATCACCCCATGATAACTTGGGTCAGTCCCGAGCCTCTTGTGGACCGGTCTCGGGCTAGGTCCAGAATTTTTTTATTTATTTTTATATAAAATATTTATAGATGGTTTTTTTTTTAAATGAAATTTAAACCATTGACCTCATGATTAACAACGAGTGTTCTTTTTCACTTAAACTACTTCAACCTTTTGATATAATAATGCACACACACACACACACACACACACACACTATATATATATATATGTGTGTGTGTGTGTGTGTGTGTGTGTGTGTGTGTGTGTGTGTGTGTATACAGTGTTGTAAATATCGCGCCTAGGCGCCGCCCGGCCGCGACGAGGAAGGCCAGAATTGGCCTCCTCTGCGGCCGCCTAGGCGGCTGAACCGGCCAGGTTTTTTTTTTTTTTAGGGTTGATAATTTGCGATTAAGCATCAAATGATTAAAATATCCCATTTACTAGATATGAGTGTTGACTTGTTGAAGTTTCTACTAGTTGTAAAGTGTAAAAACTTTGTCAAGACATAACTTTCGACTCGGTTAGCCGTAGGCGGTTTGCCCATCCAATTTTTCAAAAAATTGCTTCTTTTGCTCTTAATTTTTTTTTTTTTTTATGTATTTAGATGGTTTCAACAATATTTTGAACAATTTTACAACCACTTACGTAAATAGTTTGTAATTAAAAAACTAGAGCAACCTTATGTTTTATTAGTGAATTTTTACAATTTTAAATTTATTATTATTTTTTAAAATAAATAAATAAATAAATCGGCCGCCTAACGTATTTTGCAATATATATATATATATATATATATATATACACACACACACACACACACACACACACACACACACACACACACACACACACACACACACACACTCACGCATACTTTTTCAAAGTTAATATTTTTGTTTAAAATAATATTTTAACCATTAATCTCAAAATAAAAAATTAATATAATTTTTTACTAAATTTAAAAATTATAAGATAACATTTGAACTTGTACTGTTAAAAATTTTATAAGACTTGTAATATTATTTAATAACTTATAATTAAATATTATAATTTATAAAATCCATGCTAGATTTTACCCGAACCTAGACCTGGGTCGATTTCGAGCTGGATTTTGGGCTATTTTTTATAAGACCTGAACCTGTCCTTTATAAATCAGTTCAAATTTAGGCTAAGCTTGACCCAGACTCGGTATAGCCCATGCCTTCTTTTTTTTTTTTTTTTTTTTGACCGATTCAGTATAGTCTATGCCTTTTTTTTTTTTTTTTTTGTTTTGCCGATTCAGGACTGGTTCGATCTTGAATCGGCCCGTGGCCACCAGCTCTTTGATCCAAACTTGTTGATTGCTTTCAATATCTAGGTTAATAATTAATATAGATGGTGCAAGGCAAGCCCAAAGAGAATGCATAGTGATTTGCAAAACGTTTCGAATACAACGTTGAATGGGAAAGCTACAAAAAAAAAGAATGGGACCCGACCACCTGGAAAAGAAAACGTTTCACAAATATGACTACTGGCCAAATCAGTGCAATATTCACGTCATTGGAGAATATATATACAACAACAATAATAAAGAGCTATTTGGTTGAGAGGAAACGAATTGCGAATTCAAATTACATTGTTTGGTAAGGGTAAGAGAATTATTGAAAATGAGAAAGAAAAATGTGGTATAAAGACTAAAATGTTATTGTGTAACAATAATAAGGTAAAACACAACATGTATGAGGCCGTCGCATGAATTCTTATTCGTGAGACAGGTCGAATCAAGATCAAATGTCATAGGTAAATGTAATACTAATTAAGAGCCGTGTTTTGATACTTGGGCAAATGTAATACTTTTTTGCAGAAAAATGTTATACTTTTACATTTTGATGTAAAAGTATTATATTTTCCATCAAAAGTATTTCATTTTCCCTTTTATTTTGATGTCAACCCATTTATTAGATATTCAGGGTGTGTTTGGTACTTTGGTTCATGGGTTTATAAACACTAGAAATGAGAATCAAAATCATAGTTAGTATTTGGTTGACAATTTTTTAAAACACAACTATGAAATTTGATTACCCCTTCAATTAAAAATTTCATTCTCTAATTAAAAAGGGGTATCATTACAGCTTATTGATAATCTAATTTTTAAGTTTGGATTAGTACTTTTAGATTTTGTTTTTGATTTTTTTTGTTCATATTGAATTATTGATACTTTGTATGTCATTATATTAGGATCAATTGTCTGGATTTTTGTTTTGTTTTGTTTTTTGTTTATTTTTTGTTTATTTTTTTGTTTATTTTTTTGTTTATTTTTTTGTTTTTTGTATTTATAAAACATTTATTTCCATTATAGGGTCATACACAACAAAACATCAATATTGACGATCATTCCAATTCCATTTTACTACCAAACATGCAAAATATTTTTATCAAATACCATTATCAATTATTTAATTTTCATTCCGATTCTGATTTCATGTGAGAATCAAACACGCCCTCAATTCCTTCACGTCATACCCATTCTTGACCTCTTCGAATTTAGGGTAATTTTGTAGAAGTGGCATTGACTTCAATTCTTTCGATTCTATAGCTAACTTTTCCAATCAAAGAGTTCTTAGATCTAGCCTAAATTTAATAGTTGAAAGCTAGGATGAAATGTGGTATGAATTTAATAGTCATTCATCAAATGTGAAAAAAAAAAAAAAAAAAAAAAGTTACAAACTAAATATGAAATATTTAGAATAAATCATGTGACCGGAAATAAAAAAGAACTCATTTTATTACCGTTTTAATTACTATAGCGGCATGTAGGGAGTGTATATAATATGAAAAATATTATATGTACTCTTATTTGTTATTTTCATACATAAAATTTATGTTGAAACCTACGTGAAAAAAATAACTTATTACTATTTATTACATTATGAAGTAAAATTTGAAAGTATATGTAGTAAAACTCTATAATATAATGTGTTTTTGCTGTTGGAAAAGGCTAACAGCTGCTTTCCGTGAACAGTTAATTTTGTATGTGGATGATGGATTGGTACGAAAGATGAAAGTCGTGTCAAACTATATACATATTTCTTTTACATTCAAAAAAAATATACATATTTCTTTTAGGATCACTATTTTCTTTCCATTAGAAAGGGCAGGGCGAGTGGGTTCAATTCGATAAGCACTATTGCTTTGATTTGCTGTACTCATCTATCTTTTGACGTACGGTAACTAGCTAGCTAGGCTGAAATAAGCACCTCAAGAACAAAAAAAGTAACTGAGATGAAATGATTATTTTTTTTTTTTTTTGCTTTTACTTACAATCTGCCACCCAAGAATTAAGTGAACTGTGAATGAGGATAAAATACTAAATTAATTTTTGTCTATGGAGAAAGAGAGAGAGAGATGGTTGTGCGAGCCTGACCAATTTGCGTGTCTAACAGACGCATTAGAGTGGTCACCGGTTGGTGACCACTAGGACTTCTAATATACTTTTAAGTAAGAGATATTGAGTGTGCATAGACCTGCTTAGATATCATCGAATACATTCTATAGTTCAGTTTGATGCACCGTATAGTTATGTGTGATGCATTTTAAAGTTTGAGTTATTTATGAAATTATCACCATATTTTTTACTTTTACCATTGCTTTAGATCTATTGATTTTTCTCAAATAAACTGATAGAATGAGTTTTTAGTTCTCTCCTGACGATGTTCACTTTAGCGTGCCTAGCCTATGTATATTTCTTTAGAATCTATGATTGACTAAAATAAAAATCTTGAAAATTAAGGCATAGAATGAAATTCAACTCTTTCTAGCTGATCATCTTCCATGTTGCGGCTCATCAACTCTGATCTATCCCTTCGATCCCTCAACTCTGATCCCTCCGAGCAACCTTATCAGTGAATATTTGTGGGGAGAATGTCAAATTAAATTTCTTTGTTCAAGATCATAGCTAATGTGGGGAAGAATTAATTGTGAAAGAATTGGCCTGCAAATGCCAAAAATAATGTCAGAAAAGCAAAATGAAGAAGGAAAGGTGTTGTGCGCATTGCACCTGCCCATACGCTCGTCAGGCGCGCCTAACACTGTTTTTTTTATATTACTTTTTTTTAAAAAATCAATTTTTTTTTCTCTCCCCTCTCATCTTCTTTTTCCTAATCACTCTTACAATAACTTCTCAAATAACTCTACCATTGTGGATGTTCCTGCCACGCATATTTGTGTATAGTGAAATTACTGTGGCAGATTTCCGGGAAAATATGATGCAATCAATAGGACGGGACAATGTGATCTAATGAGATAGATAAGGTTATCAATGACATTTTGAAGTACAAAATAGGATATATATGATGTTTTTGTTGAAAACATGATGCCTACTACACAAACATGGAATGTAAAATCACATCGACTATATTAATTAATTAGTATTTTTTATGCGCGATGCACAAAATTTGATGTCCAATATTAATATTTATATTAAAATCTTAGATTTATTTAAATTTTTTGTATTTATATTATTGTATAATAATAATAATGTAAATTATTTTTATAAATTTGATATTTATATTTTAGGAAATAACATATATAGTACTCCATTATATAATGTCTATATATTATTACCATTGAAGAATATAATAATATATAGACATTATATATTGGAGTACTATATATGTTATTTCTTAAAATACAAATATCAAATTTATAAAAATAGTTTACATTATTATTATTATTATTATTATTATTATTATTATTATTATTATTATTATTATTATTATTATTGGTGTGTGTTTGCATATCTAATGGTGCGGCCGCATTGACCACACGTTAAGGCCTGGCCGCACTGGAACTTGGCTATATATATATATATATATATATATATATATATATATATATATATATATATATATATATATAAAGAGTTAATTTCATTTTTTGTTCTAGATTTATAGGTGACAGTTCACTTTTAGTCTTTTTTTTTTTTTTATTAGAACATCCTCATTTAGTCCTATTATTATTGTGGCAGGACCATTTTTAGTCTATCCTTCAACAAAATCATTGAAATATCGTTAAATAAAGAGACATTTCAATCATTAAATGCATGTAACACTAAGCTGAATACTTATGCGCACAACGAACTCAATTCAAACCTCCAATATTTATGGCAGAAATCAAACCGCACACCTTGTGGCTGAAAGTAAAACTTTTTATTTACTATACCTATGTTTTGAAACTATTTCATTTATTCTAAAAAATTTAAGCTTTAAAAGATCCATATCTCCAAGAAATTTATAACTTTATTGCCAGAATACTCTTTAAATCAAACCCCACACCTTGTGGCTGGAGTATATTTTTCTAAACTAGTAGGGTCCTAAGAGGATGAATATTTACTGGACAAAGTTTCTTTTAGTGTTGGGCCAAGAACATATTACAATGTGTTGTTTAATTTCCAATAACGTGTTTTCAAAAAAATTTCCAATAACGTTATGCTTTTTGAAGTTGTCGTAGTACGGAGAGTACAGCCAAACTAAGGTATAATGGAAGACACCATGATATGGATGACGCACGCGGTGGGTGCTCCACCCATATACTCGCGCTCCACCACCACCACCAAAGTCAATAAATATAATGTTGTGATACCAAATTAAAGCCTTTTGGAAGAATAAATATAATGTTGGTTTCGGGACTTAGCATAGTGGTTCGTCATCTAATTTAATGTCTATGATCGGTATTGGGATTGAATTTCACTAGAAACATAAATGAGAATTGAAAAAGGTCTAGAATGATGTAAGAGGTGGATTAGATCCTTTATGCACGCATAAAGGTTAGAGTCTGACCAGTGGGTTGATTGCACGACTCGCGATTTACCTTTGTAGTGACTCTAATGGGCTGTTTGGTTCACAGAATAGGTCTGGAATGACATAACATTCCCAGTAATAGGCATATTTATCTGTTTGGTAACCACTTGTATTCACAGGAACATTGTTCCCCGGGAATGACCTATTCCCCTTGTAAGGGGAATAGAGATTCCTGGGGGGGGGGGGGGGGGGGGCTGGTATTAGGCTATTCCTCAGTTCTCAGGAATAGCCTAAAGTTTCTATTTTCTATTTTACCACCAATTAAATTTATTTCCTATTTCACCACCACCACCACCATCGTCACCGCTGCCGTCGTTGCCACCGCCACCACCACCACCACTAACAGCACTGCCACCACCAGCACCGCCGCCGCCGCCACCACCACCACCACCACCATCGCCACCGCCGTCGCTGCCACCACCACCAGCACCACCACCCCACCACTGCCACCTCAATAGCACCACCGCCACCATCACATATTTTTATAAGGGTATTTATGTCTTTTAAAACATATTTCATTTCTATTCCTTAAATCAACCAAAAACTGTAATATAATTCCTAAAATCTATTCCTTCCGCGAACCAAACAATAGAATACAATTCTTATTCTATTCCTTTCTTATTCCATTCTTTATGGAATAACATTCATATTGCATCAAAATTCATTCCGTGAACCAAACGTGTTGTAAGAGCGAGATATTATGAATTTAAAAGTAGTTTGGCGAAACTGAGATCATCTAAGTGTATATATATATATATATATATATATATATATATATATATATATATAATATTCGTTAAAATGACAAGTCTTTAAAATAAGTGAACAAAATAAAGATGGTAATTTCATAATGATTTAATGTAGAGTTAATACCTAATTTGGTCTATTGACTATACACATTTACGTAGTTTTTTTGTTGATTTTAATAATTACCTATTTTGGTCTTTGGTTTTGTACCTAATTTAGTCTTCCGGTAAGAAAACTGTTAAATAACTATTAAATTTGAGGGTAAAATTAAATTTTAATATTTGAAGGATCATTTTTGTATTATTTAAATAGTCAAGGGATCAAATTGTGAATTCACTATTTTGTGAATTTTGTTAGAGTTAGTTTCATTTTTGGTCCTATATTTATAGGTAGCAGTCCACTTTTAGTCCTTCTTTTTCAGAACATTCATTTTGGTCTTAGTATTATTGTGACATGACTATTGTTTGTCCTCCATCAACAAAATCGTTAAAATATCATTAAATACAATGACATTTCGATTTTTTTTTATACAAGTGAGTTGACCCGCTATATTTTTATTTTATTTTTTTAAAAAAAAAACATAATTGAAGACCTACATGCCATTTTATTTTACGGAATTTAAACGGGTTTGTTGATGGGGGACAAAAAATGATCATGCCATAATAATACTACGACCAAAGGGTGATGTTTTGAAAAAAAAAAAGATTAAAAGTGAATTCTCACCAATAAATCTAGAACCACAAATGGAATTAACTCATTTTGTTATATCTGAAATTTTTCCTTTTTAATTTTTGAGTTGTAGAAAAAGAATTGTGTGCCAAGACCTTGTAGTCTAATGGCACCCGGGTTGGACTCCCATATGGGAGGTTGTGAATTTGAGCCTCAGTGGAGACTTTATTGGCTCTTTGTGCTTCAGTAGGTTGAGAAAGTAGTTATGAATAGATCATACATTATAATAGAGTCAGTAACATTCAAAAAAAAAAAACACTAATTGTGTGTCTATTTTACGCTCATTTTTCACTTGGATAGAAATGTGTGTGTGTGTTGTTTCATTTCAAATTGTGTTAATTCACAAGTTTTACTAACATGCTCAAGTTTTATATATAGATGTGAAGTTATAACTGGTAGTGCTAAATTAAACTGATTAACGTACAATTAAATAAATAAATATGAAAAGAATCTAATCTATGCCCTATTTTTAATCGCAAATTATTGTGTGGACCATGGTCCACACAATGTTATATGGACCATAACAAAAAGTACATTATTTTTGTAATGAATGTACATTATTTTTGTACTGAATGTACATTATTTTACAGTATATAAAATATGGTGCATAGAACTTATGTGGACCATGGTCCACACAATAATGATTGGTTTTTAATGAGTGTTTTCAAATTTGGGTTTTAACCAAAATAATTTATCCAACACAATTAATTTCATTAATTGATCAATGATCTAATTAATCCAATTCGCAAATGCCCACCCAAATCACACATTTGTGTTTATTAATAAAGTTATAAATTATGTATTTTTATTAATGCTAAAATGGAAGTAATATTATACAATATCAAGTGCAAATATACAAATATGAAGATTTGTATTGTGCGAATGAATTATAAAATATTTAAAAATATTATGTGATTTTGTGAATATTATATATTGCATGACTTAAATTTGCTTAATAATTGAATTGCATGTTAATTGCTTAAATTACACAATGACTTATAAATTCATAGCTTGATATTAAAATTTGTAAATGAAATATAGTTTAGATGAAATAACACGTACATATTTTCATCCAAGTGAAAAATGAAAAAAATCTGAAAATGATAAAGAAAGTGTAAAATGGATACATAATTAGTGTTTGATTGTGGTGTAATTTTTTTTCTACAATTTAAAAAAGAAAAAAGAAAAAAATTTCAAATACGGAGTATAACAAAAATCACAAAATAGTGAATTCAAAAATTAGTCCATCGACTATTGTAATAATGTAGAAAATGGTCCCTCAATGCCTCAATTGAAAATTCCAATTTTACCATTTCTTTAATAGGCATTTAACGATTTTTCTAACATAGGACTAAATTATGTATAAAATTAATATTCATATGACCAAAATATGTAACTTTTAAAGTCAAGGATATGATAAAATTCAGTAAACGTGCACATGAGATATTAGCTCTGTTCATATACTTTCCTAACCTATTGAAATACAAAGAACAAATAACACCTCCACTAAAACTTGAACTCACAACCTTCCAAATGAAAGTTCAACCTGGATACTATTAAACCACATAATCTTGGTGAAGTATTAACTCTTTAATTTAATTAAATGGGAGAAATATTATTTAAAATATTTTAATAAATATGTTATCTAATTATGTAAAATGTGATATGTGTCACAATTATGAATTATTTATATTTATTTATTATATATGAATTGACTGACTCAATACCCATTAGTTTTTTAACTTACATCAAATTATACCAACTACAATTTAGTGCGATGATACATTTGTTATCATTCCAAATAAGTAGTCACAGGATCAAATCCCAGTGGTGGGTGATGAGCCCATTGATTTTTAGGCCCATAGAACATATATTATCTCATAAAGAATTAGTGTCAAAAAAAAAAAAAAAAAAAACTTACACTAGATTATATAAAATATGGTAAAATAATATTGGTTCATGTAGGCTTCTTCAATATGTAATCTAATAAATATATGTCATATAACCCAATGGGGGTAGCTCAAGTGGTAAATGAGCTCTCTTTGTAGGGAAGAATTTTACGATAATTCGAGTTTGATTCCTACAAGTGACGATTCCCCATAGGTTAGCTCCCGTGCTTCTCAGAGCGACCAAATCATGCTTGAGGGGCAAGTGCGGAAAGGCTCCGAGTGAAAGATGGAGTGGGATTGGCTCAAATCCATGAATTTTTTTTTTTTGTTTTAAAGGCGCGTCCTGAGTTGAAAGAAGCAAAGTGTAAAAATGGTGCTCCTTAGTGTTAAAATGGTGCACCTTATCTGTTACAAAGACACACCTTAAACTATGAAAAGACGCACCTAAAGCTTTAGACTGACGTACCTTAAGTTTCAATAAAAAACGCACCTTAAGTACAGAAACCACGAACCTTAAGAGTGAAAAGGACGCGCCTTAAGCTATGGAAAGACGCACTTAAATCTTTAGACTGCGACTGATGCAGCTTAAGTTTCAACAAAAACTCACCTTAAGTTCTCAAGTGAAGAACTGACGCACCTTAAGCATAGAAACCACACACCTTAACAGCACGTTTGGTTCACAGAATAAATTTTGAGGTAATAGGAATGCTATTATGGAATAGGTGTATTTCCGGGAACGGTATTCCATTCCCGACCTATTCCATGAACCAAACACGCCATAAGTGAAACACCCCACTTTTCTTAATCTAAATTCCTGAATACTTAACTTAAAAGATAACTAAATAAGGAAAAGATACAATTAATAATTTAAAACAAATCCCAAAAGAGGTGTCACCGCCACAGTCACCACACACGATGACTGCACAGGCTAGGAAAGTTCTGTCTAGAGTCAAGCTCATCAGTCTACAAAACATCTAAACAACTGAGTTTTAAACATCTATCAATAAAACAGAGTCTAGACTAACATCTAGCAACTCTAAGCTACACGCTAATCTATCTCGATCGCGCTCAAACACTGGGCCCACCTGAAAGGGGTTAACAAACAAGCAAATAGAAAACAACCTGTTAGCACGAATGCTAAGTATAACGCCACCCAACCATGTAAAGTACTATAGATATACTTTTGGAAAACATTTGACATTCACACTTAAATAAAATACTTCCAATCACTTAAACAATAACTTAAATCATACTCAACAGAAAGTTCTATATGCTTGCAACCTAATTATCAAATAGGCATGCTTTCTTAAGTACTCAACTTAACATGTATCTCATGCTTCAACAAATATCTTTAAACATAGCTCAAATGTAAACTCATGCTCAACTTATAGATAAAAGATACTAAATAACTCAACAAGCAATCTCATACGTACTGACATCGATAGCCAACTTTAATCAATTAAGCTATACTCACAATCACGCGAATAGATAAAGAATTAACTAATACTTAACAAATAAGCTCATGCTTTCATGCCAACTCTTAAACAACAATAAAGCTTTACTTCTCAATACGTGCTAAAAGCAACTCATGCTAAGTCATCAACAACAAAGTGATATACATCTCATCATTCTTTAATGCTCAACATGAAAAACACTTAAATCATGCATGTAGGGAAAGAAGCCAAAAAAATCTCTTTCTTTTTTTCCTATAGGGAACGGGCAAGAGCTAAGTCGTCTTGACAAACCGCATACAAAGAAAATGGCAGAGACCAAGCTATCCAAAAGATAAGAGAACCTTCCAGGCCATGAGTCTAAGTGTCAAGGTGTGAAGAAGTTTGGAGTGTTTATACTTTCTCTGCCTGTCAAAGACATCAAAGCAAATGAGAAACTAGTGATAAGGCCCTGGGACCCCGGGGACTGTTTTATTCGGAAGATTTTGGCCCAAGGGGGAGTCCATTTTTATTGGTGAGATTTTGGCCCAAGAAGAATAAAATTCTTTGTGGGCTAGGAAGGAAGGAAACATGGTAGCCCAAAAGGAATGAACAAAATATTAAATGAGGTCAGCCAGCAAGGTTCAAACACAGTTCAATCCTAACCCCACACCTCACCAACCAATCGAGCTACTCGATCATTGTGTACCAAATGGCAGGAAACTCTTGTTGGTCCCGAAGGGTTGGGTTACAAGTCTAGAGGGGGATGTGGGTGAATAGACTTGTATAATTTTAAAATTTCTTTATTGTTCGAAATTCAATATTTAAGATGAACTTAAGCTTGAATAACTACTAGCAAAGAGTTTACAACAGAAAAACGTGAACCCTTTTTAATAGTTGAGCACAATTTTGTTCTTTTTGACAAATTTTAGGTTTGGTTGCT